TTACAATAAAGAAGGTCAAAGCGATGAAACATGCAGAAACACATTTTTTGTTAGGTGAACCTTTACTTGTTTTTTTTTTTCTTTACAGTTTGTTTCTCACTCAAATATTTCGGTGCTATAAACACTCCTATGCATTTGCACTTTTTCCCCCCTGTTTTCACAGAGGATATGAAAATGGAGTATGAATATGGAGAAGCAAGGATATTGCCTATGGTGAACCTATGCATAATGCAGCTTTTTTTGTCTCATCTAGATTCATTCAGACACACACTGAGATTCGCACTATCACCATCATGTGCATAGAAAAACAGGACAATAAATCCCTCTTTCTCCCGCCCTCCTCAGACTATTCCTCCCCTTCAAACAGTCACGGACAAAGTCACAAAAACACATTTCAGATTTCACTTATAGGCTCTTGAACACAAAGTCCATTCTGCACAGATCAGATAAAACCCATTCACAGCAAACATCATGTTGCAGTGATACAACCCTTGGGGTTGACACAAGTCAAGATGGCCACCACATCCAACTAACTTTAAAAACAAACACAAGAATGGCTTTAATGGTGCCAACTTTAAGGATACTGAGCTCAAATTTGGTGGGGTCGTAGCTGAGACTTATCCCTAAAACATATTTGCAGAGCGATACACTATGCAAGCTCCTTCATTGAAACTTTGCCAATAATTATTTGAAGTTAACTTTGTTTGTATGTTAGCAAAATGTCTCATGAACTACTGACTGAATTTCAATGACACCTTCAGAAAATAATCATTAGCTACATCTCCACCACTAGTTAACTTTATGAGGCAAAGCAATTAAATATGGCTGCCACAGCCAAGCCATCTTATAAAAACACAAAAAATGTCCATAACTCAGTCAATATATAGATGTAGGTTTAACATGTGATGGTAGTAGCTGAAATTCAGTCACAACACATATTCTGAGCACATTGTCTTATACCAATATATATATATATATATATATATATATATATAATATATGATGATCTTAGTTTAAAACTGACGTGAAAAGAGGCAGGTGATGCGAAATGTTATGACTTTTATTTTACTATTGTGATAGTTGATTACAGTTATCTGGTGTGAAGTCAAAAAAATAATAATACTGTGAATAATAAAGAAGTGTGGCATGATACAAGCGCAATAAGATATGTGGGTTGTAACTTGTAAACAACAGTGTGTGCAGTGGTTAAAAACAGACAGCGTTCCAGCACGTGAAAACATCTCCCGCTCCAAAGAGATGATTTGCGCAGAAGTGAGAGCCAGAACCGTGGAAATCTAACCCCCACCTCTTTGACAGGACTATAAACTATTTGATGGAAGAACAGGAGAGGGGAAGAAGTTTGAAGTGACAGATTATGGACTGATGGAATTGATTTTTGACCGTCCTGTCTCTGTGCGTAAAGAGGCGCGCACGTCGCTGCTGCTGAAACTTGTCGAGTTTAACTTATAAAGTTTTTATTATTTATTTTGTTTTGTATACTGTAACTTGTTTATTTGTCACCCCTTCACACACACACTTCACACACACACGTATCTTAGACAAAGTTGAAAGCAGCATGAAGGAAGAGTGTCCGGATATAAATAAAATAATGTTCAGACAGAATATGTGAGTCCGACGGACTTTGGGCTGTAACATTTTGTAACAGTTTATTTGTTTATTTATTTTTTTAAATTATTTATGTCTACGCACAAAACTTATTTGAGTTGAGTCTGTGAGAACGTAAAAGATTTCTTGGCCATATGCTGCGCTCCTGCCACGTTTGACTTTGGAGATTTGTGGGTTTTAAAGGAGAAACACCTCAATTCCAGTCTGATTACGCAAGAGGACAAAAAAAACATGATCAATACCCTACTTTTTATTATCATTAAGCTGTCCCTGGTAATATGGAATAAAACCTGTAGGCTCTACATCTTCACCATTTTAGAATTGGCACACTGCACCAGCCCAAATTAATTTAACTTGGCAAAGTTTCTAATCGTTTAAAAAAAAAAAACATAAATGCAGCTTGGTTTTCTTTATATAGATCGGGTTTGCCTCCAACCTGAACAAACATCTGCAGGCCGTCATGCGGCTGGAGCCAAGTAGCCACCAGAGTCTGACTCATACCGCAGTTACCAGGCTCCCCCCACTCCCACCCCCTCGCCCCCTCAAGCTCCTCTCTGCTCTGATGTTCTGATGTTTTGTTTCCAAATTTACGCACAGACCAGGTCAGAGTCTCGCATTCATAAACATACAACATAAATAAAAATGCACCAGAATCATTTCATTTAAAAGAATAGGAGACTGATCCTTGAGCAGATCAGAAAACCAAACTTCAGGTCTAAGTTAGGCTTAAAAGAAGATTTTAAAGAGGAAGGGGAAAATATGACATCTAAGTAAAAACACACGAGAGGAAGAAATTTACGCAACAAATGCGCAAAATTAAAATGAGGTTCAGGAACAACATTCAGGTGGCAAAGTGGTTTATTAGGTTCAGGCAAAAATCAAACAAAAAATATCAATTTGATACCAAGAAGCGGAGCACTTGCAGCAGATCAGTCAGTGGAAACTGGCTAAAACCGGACCTGAATTAATTGATGAAATATTTTGTCGCAAACGCTCTTCTGCCATCTGTCTGCACCTGACGTCCCTTTCTGAACACAGCTGCTTATTTACAGATCAAAATGTCTCAAATTCCCTTTAAACAGTCTGTTTCTCCCCAGAAGAGACTCCAAAATATAATAAAAAATAAATAAATGGAACACTTTGAGAGTGTCCCAGGCCCTGCTGTGGCCTGTCAGGCCTGAAAGATCATTCACGCACCCCCTCAACTGAGTTTGTCTCAATTTTATTTCCATAAAATGACAAGCAGCCTCCCAAATCATGACAAAGAAGGATGAGTGTATCTCCCCCTCCCTCTCTATCCATCTATCCGTCCTCTCCCCCCTCCTCCTCCTCCATCTCTCCGCAGACATGGGTGCAGGTGTGCTGATATGCAGCCAAACTAAAGCAACAAACGGCGAGCAGAGACTGAATGAATCTGAGTAAAGACATTAAAAAAACAGAAAGATTTTCAAGCAAATGTGCAATGTGAAATATATTTAGAAGGCTGAAAAGTTGGAAAAAAAAAACGCCAAAGATTTTCGTGTCATTCTAGGAGGCGCGGCAGAGCCAGGAATATACGCAGCACTGATCCATATGCACGTCTGATAATAGAGCTTCATTTCCCTTAAAAAAAACAGCATTTTCTAACTCTGCATATCCAAAAGCTACACCAGCCAGGTGGAGGTTTAAAATCCTCATTGACTCGTCCAAATGTGGGGAACATGGTGTTTAATTAAAAAAAAAAAAAAGCAGCGGAAAATTGAAGTTTGTTTTCCTCTGCGTTATCTACATCTCTCCCATCTCAAGCACTCTTTCCGCTCCAGTGGCTATTTGCAGCCAACACCCCCACCCCGCTGACCCACCTCCCTTTGCCACACACAGACACAGAAAGGCGTGCGCGCACGCACGATACAACTCGTTCAAGTCACGGGACAGAGCGATGTACAGTGCGTATCTTCGAAATAAACCCTGTAATCTAATTACATCCAACAAAAACAGCTCAGATGTGCCCCCCCCCCCCCACACACACACACACACATACACACTCCCAGCCGCAGCTGCAGCCTGGCAGAGGGCACTGCCAAGGCCAGTGACAGCAAGTGAGCGCATCAAAGAGCTTTTGCACCCCCCCCCCCCCCCCCCGCAGAAAAAGCCTTAAAGTATTTCAAAAGACTAAAATTAATTTGTATCACACAGGGTTCGGTTTCCGACTCGCGCGTAAAAACACTGGGTTAAATAAGGCAATAAATTGAGTGCCCTGATTATTTTTAAATATGTGTTTCCTTCCAAAGTGATAGAAAATCCATCACAAACAATGGGTCAATTTATTTGTTTTAAGAAGGGGGGGGGGGGGGGATGAGTCATTATCGCGCATAGAGCAAGGCCAATCAGTGTGTGGTGGCACAGAAAATGGTGGATGAATAATTAGACCAGAGGATGATAACAACCGACATCTTATCAGCGGAGAGCATCTCTGCATGCACAGTTTCGTGTTTTAAAAAATGTCCAACATCATCTGCAAATTAAAGTCCAGAGTTCAGCCCCCCAGCATGAGACCCTTATGAATTGGATTGACCCTTGTTGCCCCTGCACGGATTTTACGCGCGCTCAGGACGCACAGCAACTTCACACTTGTCATATCGTTTTATTTATTTATTTATTGTAATCCACGTACAATAGATGTCCTAATTCCTTGGGGGTCCTCTTACCCTTCCTTATCCACCTAACCTTCCTGCACGGCGCGCGCGCTCTCATGAACTAACATTTTGTCTGCGCTGCAGGACAAAATATAAACACAAAGTCTAGAGTTGCATCCAACTTTTGCATCTACTTGGACTTTTGAGAGTAAACAGTCCCCCTTCAGCTGTGGTCAGCACCACCACCCCTCCCCCCTATTTTTTCTGTATCCGTGCATGCGCCTGCAGATCCTTATCAGCCTCTCCTTGTATTCAACAGCCTCCATATTCACGACACATCCACATATTCATCATGCATAATGCTAATGCTGCTGCCTTTTTCAGGCTAATCACTGCGATGCACCGTTTGTGGGCAAATTTTGAGATCTTTGTGGTTTTGTCCTGACTAAAATACCTAAGAATCTTATTTTACACTAATAAGAAATTGCATATATGTAAATTTCTTCTAATCAGACCATCACTATGAAGAGGGGGGTTGGGGAAGATGAATCCAGGCTTAAGCAAAAAATAATGGCTCATTAGGGAATCATCCTTTTAAAAACATAAAAAAGTTAGTTCTTCAGATGAGAGTTTAGAGTTTGACACATCTCCAACTCTCTTCTATGTCAATTCCAGCAACATTTACCAAGCAGACAATCAACATGCAACTTCAGCTGATGGCAAAAAAAAAAAAAGAGAAAAGACGCCATATACGCTTACCTTCTTGCAAAGAATACAGCAGAAGTAAAGTTACAAGCCACATGCCATTAATAGCAGGTATATTTCACAGGAATGTTGTGCAGTCCCCGAGAAGAGTGCACGGCGCCGCGGTCAGCCAGGCGGGGCGAGGCTCCGTGCCGGGCTGGATCTGCTGATGCTCCTTTCTCCAGCACCTGGTCCCACACTCTCTCCAGCTAAGGAGCCCAGAAAAGAACCGCCTCTGTTCCCTGTTCTCTCCTCCCCTTGCCGGGACTAGCTGCTACTGCTGTCGCCCCACCCCCGGTATCCAAATGATGCGCCGAACCCAGCGCACCAACGTGGACCACACACACAAAAAAAAAAAATCGTTACGCGCACTGAAGGGATGCTTTGATCCAGCCAGCTGTTTCCAAGTGCAGACTCCTAAACTGTGTGTCTTGTATTTAACTTAAAGAAAGAAATTAGATGTTTTCGGTATGTGCGATGCAAATCAACTTCAGAATATCTCCTCAGTTCGGTTTTCATAGTGTTACCAGCAGTGCGCAAAGATAAGAGCGCACCTGAGCTGACCGATGAAGTGCGGCAGTAAAGGATGGAAAACGAGATTTATTTTTATTTTTAGAGTTTCAGAAGAAGGAGGAAAAGGAGCGCAGAGAAGGATGCAGACTGGTTTTCTCAGGTTGGAAAGTGCGCTCTGCTGCGCGCTGCGCCCGCGTTTGGCATCATGTGGTGTTCAAATCCTTCTGGTTTCTAACAGACTGATAGCTTCTATCTCAACCATCTGAAGAAAAAAAAAAGAATAATCTTGATTTGAATTATTCATCGTGTGTTAATGAGATGCTGAATAAACAAATTCTAACAAAAAGCCTTTTCCTTATTTTCTCTCAGACAAACATGGAATGGGCTTAAAGGCGCACTGACATCAGCTGCCACTGCAGAAAACTTCCTCTGCTCAAACTTGTTCTGGGGATTTGGTTACATTCAAAGTAACTAAAATGTTCTTACACTTGTGGCCAACAAAGTGAGAGCTGGACCTGCTTTAAAAGGCAAGTGTGAAAAGAGACGCAAACATTTTGCAAGTGCTGCGTCACAAAAGCTAAATTTACATGTATTTACAATTCAGCTCTGGACCTGAGCAGGACACCGTGTAAACACTGAACTTAAGCTTCAGAAATACCTTCCCATTTGAACGACCAGATACGTCTTTGTTATTGGATGGTATTTAACTTCCAACATACTTTTGCAAAATAAAATGGAACAAATCTAGATGCACAAACCTCTCCCAGTCTTTCTGCAGCCTGTTCATCATCTTATCTGACATCAATTACCTTTTCCTCAACATTTCTGCTACTTCTCCTGTGCGGAGCTGAAAAGTCATCCTGGCTGTTTAAATGAGCCAAGACAAGCTGTGGAACTCTCACTCCCACTGTGGCAGGAAAGGATGCACAATCTGCCTCCACTTTTTATTATGTAACAGGTGGAAACCCACAAACCCACGCAATCTGTGTCTCTTCTCACACACACAAATGTACAAGCATCACACAATAAAAGTGGCACAGAGCTTGGACACATCCTATCTTCATAGATTGCATTTGAAGCAGCAACACATCTTCAGTTTTTTGTACTTCTCCCACATGAAATCATTTGTGTAGAGAGATGGCCTCACCTTTTCTTACAACTCTCACAGAAAACACTGTTTATCTTTGCGTTGAGTATTCTGCTTTCTTCGGCACCCAGTCATTGACCCAAGCTTTCCATGACACATGAAGTCTATCGTCTAAAAGCAGTGTGGCAAGACGGTTAAGAAGATGATGTAAGCTGGCCTGACAGCACCAAGCAGGTTATACTATATGTCAGGCAGTGATCATCATGGGGACTGACAGCCTGGCCTGAGTTGAAACGGCGAGTGGCTCTCAGACGGCTCCAGTGAGTCAGTGAGGACTGCAGTTCAGGACAGTCCACCATACTGCTAAAAACCACAACAGCATGTGACTCATCTCCAACCCTCTTTGCATCACTCTGCTCCATTGTTGGCCAAAGATAGAGAGGGCGGCTGTGAGAGGTAAAACTATGTTGATTGAAAGGAAAACTAAACTTTCTTAGAGCTGGAGGAAAAATACTGGGAAAAGAAGTCATGAGAGGGGTAAACAGCAAGTGTCATGAGGTGAATAAGTTCATGTTAATGCCTGGACAATCAGAGCTCACTGGTGATGCTGGAGTCATATTAATATGGTATCTCTGGGAATAAAGAGAGAGTTTTCATTGTCTGAAGTGGGGTGCAGTGGTGAGGTTATGAGCCATCAGTCATGTTCTCTGAATGTCAGTTTGAAGAAAGTTTCTAGTTTTGACCAGATTTTTTTTTCATTCAACCTTTATTTCTACAGAATAGGCTCATTAAGTCACGAGGACTCGTTTACAAGAGAGACCTGATTCAAACAAAAGCCATAAATGAGGTACACACAACAATAAAAATTCATATGAAAGCATATAAAATGAAAAGTATATAAAGTAAATGATATGAATCAAAATTTCACAACATCCATCCATCCATCCATTATCTTTACCCATTTATTCCATTTTGGGTCACGGGGGTCGCCGGTGCCCATGTCCAGCAATCACTGTGCGAGGGGCGGGGTACACCCTGGACGGGTCGCAAGTCCATCACAGGGACACATAGAGACAAACGAGACAAACAACCATTCACTCTCTCACTCACACCTAGGGACAATTTAGAGTTACCAATCAGCCTAACATGCATGTTTTTGGACTGTGGGAGAAAACCGGAGCACCCGGAGAAAACCCACGCATGCACGGAGAGAACATGCAAACTCCACCCAGAAAGGCCCCTGGACCGGGGTTTGAACCAGGGACCTGCTCGCTGAGAGGCAGCAGCTCTACCAGTTGCGCCACCGTGCTGCCCAATTTCACAACATGTTACATTATAAAATGGTGTAAAAAAACTAAAAACAGAAACATGTCTGCATTGATTTTTGCATTGAACTTAACAGTACCGGTAGTTTAAAATCCCTTAGAGAGGTCAAGGTCGAAAGCTCCAGATATTTTTTGCACGGTGTTCCAGGTTACAGGAGCGGAGTAGGAGAAGGTTCTTTTGCCAAATTCAGTCTGCACTGAGGGGACACTGCAGGTAATGATGTCTTGGAGCGCACGCTGCTGCATTGACAACATGGCATGTAGGAGGAGATGTATGAAGGCAGCAGACCAAGGAGTGATTTAAAGATGAAAATGAACCAGTGAGAGAGTCTGTGTGAAGTTAATGATGACCAGTTAACCAGTGAATACAGGGTGCAGTGATGGGTACAGTAGTTACAGTCAGTTATGAATCTTAGCGCACCGTGATAGACAGCATCCAACATCTGCAGGGTGCTTGTAGGAGCGTTCATGTAAATAATGTCGCCGTAATTCAGAGTTAGACAGGATCTGTTTCTGAAAAAGAAACACAGTTTTACTTTGTTTCTTTACCAAGTTTTGACATGAGGCTTAAAAGAGAGATTTGCATTAACCAAGATTCCCAAGTATTTGTTAGTTATAGATACAAAGTAGATATAGATAGATATAGATAGATATAGATTGATATAGACATAGAGAATTGAGCTAAGGGCTAGTTTGTAGATAGCAACGACCAAAGTGAATTATTGCCATCCTTAAATACATTTTTTTTACTTCTTTTTTTTGTTTTTGTTTTTAAAGAAACTGTCCAGATGACCTGACTGAAAATTGTTGGATTGTATACCTGGATTATTGAGCATGGACTTTATTGGTTTTGAATCAGTTTGACATGACTATCGACGAGGAAGAGGGCCGGCACTGGAGGACTGGGCGCGCCAAAGAGACCATCTTAGCACCAACATAACTGGTTTGTTCCACTTTGGAGTAAGCTGTTTGGGGTAAGAATCAGTTTTGTGTTGTGTGTTTCCTTGACTGATGAAGTCTTCTGGATGGAAGGTGAAACATTTCAACACAAAAAAAAGAAACTGTCCAGATGACCTGACTGAAAATTGTTGGACATTTATCCATCCTTATTTTTACACGCTTCTTCCTTTCTGGGTCACGGGGGTTGCTGGTGTCTGTATCCAGTCACAACATGGAGACAAAAAAGACAAACAACTCTCACTCACACCTTCAGACAATTTACAGTTGCCATAAAATGCTCATGCAAATCTGGATGCAAAAACTTTTACACTTACAAATGACCACAGACCTCGATGGGAATAATTATCCAGAGCAAATAATTATGAACATGTAAGGATTTTCTTCAGAACCACTATTTTTAAGATGATACTTGTTTCAGGATTACTTTAAACTGTAGTTTTGAGCCACATTCTTATTAGCTGTTAGCTTGGCTGTCTGGTCAGGACTAATTTCTGTTTCTTCAGGCTGAGCTCATTCAGAGATACATTTCTTGTCATGCAAAGAAGTAACAATCTTTACACAGATGCCCCCATCTCTCTCCTTTGGGGCACTACTTTGAAACCTCTGCAAGGTTAGAACTAGGAGAGGGCACAGACGCTGCTGCTTAGTTCTGCACAAGGTCACCGGATCAAAATGGGAATGACGAGTGATGCAGGCACGGTAACGATGGAGGACTGTGATTTGTGGAGTGAGCCAAATCTCTTGATTGGTCAAATGTAGTGATGATCACATCGTGGTAGGAAAAAAAAGTACTTTGAAAACACAGTTTGTGTTAGGTGTCAGTCTTCATCAGAGTTTTCAGTGCCTTTTTATCTCTGCATGCTGTTTTGTATGAACAAGCCTCTGCATTAGGTTAATATGAATCCCACACAGCCATGCTGCAGCATATTAGCAGGAAACTACCAGCCAATGGAGTGTTTGCCTCGAACTAGGCATGCGTGATTGCTGTAGCTGAAAGTGCATCAGCACATCTGAGAATGTGGCTGCATAATCATTATCACGCATGATGGCAAAGTGCAGGATGCATATTTCTGTCCTCAGAGACGTATCTGCTCGAGTGTATATTTTGCACACGCGTGACGGTACATGCACATAAGATATCAAGGGGTGCTAATTTATTCAGATGAGCTGGGGAGGATGGTGATAGGATGAAGTGAGGGGGCAGAGGAGGTGTATGTTCTGCAGAACAGGGTGGGGTGTGGGGACACCTTCATTTGGAGGTTTATGTCTTCATTTTTCCTCTACT